AAAAAAAAAAAAAGCAGGATGTAGCTCATCTGTAGACACAGATGCACCACCCAGACCCTCTTCAAAAGCAACCTGCTGCCCAGTCTAGGGAGTGCAACCAGCAGCCAGCTGCTGCCGCCAGCTTGTTCAGGGTCTGCTCAGTTGCACAGAGATGTGTCACTGGAGGCCACAGCCTGTCAGGGACTGAGCAGGCAAGGGAGAGATGCCAGGCTCTGTTGGCCAACCTGGGACACTTTAATGGTCAGTGATCACTCCAGTGCTCAGGCTGCTGGCAGAGAGCACAGTTTGACAACTCCTCTTGTGCATCCTTCTTCCTTCCCCCTTTTTCATGGAACGTCACATGCCCTGAAATCTTTCAGCATCTGCTTCCATGAAGCACAACTTGCAACCATCACCCTTGTCTCTCCCCCATGTTTTCAGGGTATATTAAATGTGTGTTGGTCAAATTAACTAAATGGGGGCCAGGGATTTAGCTCAGTGGTTCTGCCGCCTGCCTCGCAAGTGGAAGGACCTGAGTTCGATCCCCGGTACCAAAAAAAAATTAACTAAATGGGGACATTTCCCCCCAAATTGTTTCCCCTGCAAGGTTCCAAGTTAGGGTTAGCCATGGGGGAAGTTCACCCACGTTTGGAAGGTAGAAGGGAAGCGACAGCTGTTTTTACTGTCTGCAGCCAGGTCACTGACACTCTGTGCACCTCGCTGGCGCTGCACTGGGTTCCTCTAGCTCTTCCTCATTCTCCTCAGCTCACTGGGGTCCTATCCGAACAACCCCCCCCCGCCGCCCCCCCGGCCCGATCACTCATATTATGAAGGTTGGAGGCAGTGAGAGAGACAGATGCAGATTTCAGTTTGTCCCTGTGGTTCCAGGTTGTCCCTCCTCTTCCTCACTTCCACCTTTTCTTCCCAGATGCCAGTTCCCTTAACCTCGGTTCCAATAGCAGACACAGAGACCATGACTTCCATAGACTGGTGCAACCAGCTCCTGTAATTGTGTGAACTCTGATCCCAGTGATAGTTCCCCTTTTCCTGAATTCTGACTGGTACAGTCATTATTTCTAGTTCCTCTCATTAGCTTTGCTTAGTTAGCCCTGAGCAGTACTTGGCTCCTTACTCTGTGGGGGTGCTGTTAATATCTCCACCCTTACCCTCCCTCCCTTCCTCCCTTCCTCCCTTCTCACCTCTTCTCTCAGCTATTTATTTTTGCATTGTCAAGTGGGTTAACATTACATCCTGTCCTGAAACCATAGTGAACTTTTCCCTTCCTTGCCTGTGGTCCATTCTAAAAGCCAAAACCAAACAGCATTTAGAGTAGTGCATTTTGTGTGGGTAAATGGACACCAGGCCTAATGATGAGCTATGCTTATATTTCCTTCCCTACATGTCAAGAGCAGACACCTGTGTCACTCAAAGGACAAATAGACTTTTTATTTTATTACTGCCATTTGGTCATATGCCTTTCTTGTTTAATGGTTTGTTTTTCCTGAAGTTTTTGATTGATTTACTTTTTTCTGCTTGGGCAAAGAAAACTAGGCCTTTGTGGTCATGTCCCAATTACCACTCAGTTTCCTCCTCCTCTTCCTCTTTCCCTTCTTCCTCCTCCCCTCCTTCTCCTTCTCCTTCTTAATTTTGTGACAGGGTCTAGCTAAGTCATTAAATTGCCCCAACTGGACTTGAACTTGTGATTCTCCTGCCTCAGCCTCTCAAAGTGTTAGAATTACAGGTATGCACTAGCATGCCTAGCTTCTCACTTGCTTCTTATCTACTTTATGTATTGCTTAGAATCCGTTCTTTTTGCTTAGAAAACATTCTCCTTGGGACCCATGACATTTTATGGATCATGAATGTCTATTGAGGCTCACTAAACAACTGTCACCTTGGAACTTCTTTTCACTGGTCTCTTGAGTTAATCTCACTATTTCTTGTATTCTCATATGGCCTTTTTGTTCCCTTGAGATCTAGTCCAGTTTTGCTGAAATACATTCTCATTTAATGTATCCATGCACAAGAGATACCTGTCAGGAACTTATGTGAGGACATAATATCTGTGCGATTTGGACAGATTCCTAATTATGTCACCAAGCTCATAGGGTGACTATGAAGATTATACTTGATAATATTTGTAAAATTCTTGTCCTTTCTGTGTTTGGTTTTCTGAGACAGGGTCTTGCTGTGTAGTTCAGGCTGGCCTTGAGCTCACTATGTACCCAGGCTGGCCTTGAACTCACAAGGATCCTCCTGCCTCAGCCTCCCAAGTGCTGGGATTACAGGCGTGCACCACCACATCTGGAAAAATTCCTGCCCTTTGATGCTCAGAAAATTTTGGTTTATTCCCATCATTATTCCACATTATTTTTCCCTAAAAGATTCTCAAGTGCTCCTATTGCCTATGGAATAAAATTCAAATTCTTCATCATGGCCTAAGGGCCTCCATGATGGGATCCTAATTGACCTTTCAGGTTTATTTTTAACTACTCTCTTCATGTACCTGGTACCTTGCCAAACTGTTTGCCCAACATAGCTATGTCTTCTAGTCACTGGGCCTTGACTCTTTCTCTGTTCACTCTCCATGGAAAGCCTTTCCCATAACATCTGTGTGTCAGATTCCATTTCCTTCCCCAGTGTCCACTGCACCTTTATCTCTCTCTCATCTCCCACTGCAAGCAGTCCTCATCTCCCCTCTGACTTTTGTCCTCTCGTCTGAGTATTACAGCTGTGGCCTCATGCTTGGCGGGCTGCCAGTGGATGGACCAAACCCTTTCAATGCTTCCCTGCAGCTGGGGCAGCTGCAGTGTTGAATAATTCTTTTTTTGTAGCCTGGGCAGAATCGAGCCTGCCTCTAGGCCACTTTTTCAGAAAGCCAGAAAATCATTGCTTCTTTCCTCTGTCCCACCAGGGCAACTTCCCTCTCGGGAAGCAGCCCCATGCCCACCTCAGGTAGGGTCCTCTTACATGTAGGGAAGACACCTAATAGATGAGATCTTTTGGCCAGTGGAAAATGTTTTGCCATCAAATCTCTCTCACACTAGGATTTAGTTACAGGAACAAAATGCACATGCCCATGAGAGGAGTAACCTTAATTATAACCCACTCACTTATGTTTATTCCCATTCATTTCATGATTGCATAAATGTATTAGAGGAGCCTGGTATACCAGGCACTCTGAAGAGCTTGGGGGGAGAAGCTGCTGTGGAGAAGACAGAAGCCTTGCCACAGGGAAATCACAACTAGCTTAGATTGGTTTACAGATTGCTTTTTGATCATGAGGACCTTCTGAGAGTAGAGGAAGGAGCATCTGGGGGCAGGAAGAGTGAAAGGCTGGGTGTGTGGATGAGGATGGTTCAGGTGGAGTCCCCGAAGGGCCTGGGAACCAGGATGGAAGAGGATCCCAGGAACTGCAAGGTGCCTGAGAATTTCCTCTGCCTCCCAGTTTAGCCTTCGGGTGGGGTGGAGCTGTCAGCCAGTAGGCTAGGCAAGAAGGTGGGGAGAAGGCAGAAAGGGAGATGTTGCAAGCTCTGAGTACAAGGTTCTGACCCATCTTATTCACATGTCAGATTCTCCTCACCAGGTGAGACCCTGGATGGCCCCTTAGAATGTAATCCGAGAAGGAGCCCCAGAGAAAGGACAATCTCTTTGCTCACTTGGTTGTGTCTAGCAACTTCTGTTTATTCTGGGATGGTGGGAGAAGGGTGGCCTCAGCCAGTGCTCACTCTAGCCTCATCAGAGGTAGCCAGCCCCAGCTCTAGCTCCCTGGCCTGTATCAGTGTACAGGGTGCCCAGTGCTAGAGGGAATCATGTGTTCTGAGCAGACACTGCAGCCTATTAAAGGCTGAATTCTGTCTGTGGTCGCATCCTGGAGGGCTACCCTACAGCAGACAAAGCTCCTTTTGTAGTCAGTGGGACTAAAGGAAGGGGGAAGTTGAGCTCTTAATGTGGCCAATCAACTTCCAGCTTATAGCAATAAATTTCTCCCTGGACCTTTTCAAAACAAAGCTTGGCTAATGTGGAACCAGGGGCTGGAAGTGGTGGCTGAGGCGTGGCATGGCCCAGAGCTAGCTCAAGCTACGGGATCTTGGGACTCCAGCCTTTTATATGAGCTTTTATGCTAACTGTCTTATTCCAGAGGGAAGACTGTCCAGGGAGCCCACCCAAACCAAAGTCCACAGGTTCTTATAACTGGAAGTGTCCTTGGAGATGGCCAGTCCAGCCTTTCTATTTCCTAAGATGTGGAGGAGGAGGGGGAATGGGGGTCTCTTATCTACAGAGATAGTGACTGGGCTGGGGGTGGCTGCAGACCCCCTCATTCCATATCCACATGTCCTTCTGCTTACACCAGACATGACTTTTATTTGGAAATGTGTACACATCAGCAAAGGCACAAAAGGAATAGGGCAGTTAGCTCCACAGAGCCAACTAATGATGATGGAAGCTAAAACAAAGTGATCAGCCTGCAGGCTAGGAGCCATCCTGGTTCTCTCGTATCACACCACAGGCTTTGCTTACGCATCAGGTGGTCTTGTCCCTGGAAGGCTCCTGCCTCCTCAGCTAGGCACCTGATCAAGAAGATGAGAATCGGAAAACCTTGTGTATTTGTAGTATCCTAACTTTTCTAAGTAGCAGCTCATGTGAGCCTAAGAGCAACCCTGAGAGATATTATTATCCCTTCTGATAATAATAGAGGTAGCAAATGGAGTGCAAGGGAGGATATGATTGCCAAATACCATACAACTAGCAGATGGTGAATTGTATCGCAAACTCATTCTTCTGACTCAGAATCCTGTTCTCTTAGAAGATATGTGAAAAAGTGCTTTGAATAACACGAGCTGTACATGGTGTGATGCTAATGAGCACCACCCCTGTGGCCCTCTCCATCACCACCACTGCCCTCACACCATCACGATCACCATAACAACCCCTGCTTCCGCTGTCACTCTCACTGCCATCACCACTGCCACCAGCGCCGCCACCCATCTCCTCACTACTAACCCAGTCATCACCACCAGCACAGTTCAGTCACCATCCTCATCTTCACCCAGCACCATGACCACCACCTCCATCAATCCCGCTGTGATTACCACCCCCAGCTCCCGCATCGTCCCAATCCACACACCCAGCCACTACCATCATTACCACTTTTACCTCCACCACATCCCCTCCCACCAGCATCTCCACCAATACTATAACCACCAACTTCAGCAGCATTAGCACTGCCGTTCTTGCCACACTAGAGCCACTGCTGCCATTGTCAGCGCCATCGCCTGCGCCACCATCACTGCTACTAACACCTTCAAATCTGAACCCTAAGGCTGTTTCTACACCTGGAGCCTCAATCTCTAAAACAGCTAAGTGCATGGAACAAATTCAGCTAGTCCAGTCCTTTGATGCTAAAGTGTTGTTCATGGACCACAGCATTAGCATCCCCTAGGAGCTTGATAGAAAGGCAGAATTTAGACTCACCTTGACTTATTGAACCACGATTTCCATTTTAATGAGATTCCCAAGTATTTCTATGCATATTAAGGTATGAGGAACAGTGCTCTAGGAAACCTTCAGAATCCTCAGAGGAGATGGCTTTAAGCTAGAGGCTCCTCTAGACTGACTTGTTGAGCCAGACTACTAATCCCTTGTCTCAGCTCCATAGTGCAAGTCAAAGAGTAACTTTCAAGCACTGTGCTTCTGGTGTGCTCCACATAGAGATTTGCAAGGCCTTTGGGATAGACCCAGACTCACAAGCCCACAGTAGGAAAACTGCCCTGTGGCCCAAGTCTTGACAGCTGAAAAATGAGAAAGAAGTGATCTGGGGCAGAGGTTGGGAACACGTCCTTGCTTTTTTATCAGTGTTACAAGTTTTGCCCTTTTCTCCCTGGATCTCAAATGTGGAAAGGACTAAAATGGAGCTCCTTCCTCCTTGTTATATCTTCAACATATAAGGTGTGATTGAAAACTAGGATGATATGTAACTTTAAAAAAGACTTTGACGGTAAAAAAACACACTGCCATTAATCTCCCTTAAAATACTCTCTTGCTTTGAACACACTCATCTCATCATTTTTTCCACTTTCTGAAGCAGTTCTGGAAGTCCTCTTTTGTGTCTTTAGTTGTGTTATCAAGGCTGCCTTGATGTCTTCACTCGATTCAAAACATTTACTTGTCACAGTAATTTTTACTTTGAGGAAGATTCAGAAGCCCCATAGGGCCAGGTCGGGTGAATAAAGTGGATAAGGACACACCGTACTGTTTTCATGAGACTGCCTTCTCATCAGGTGTCACTCAGCAGCAGCACCCACTGTATTTTCGATGACATCTTGTTATGACACTTATGAAAGAGGACTTCCAGAACTGCTTAGAAAGTGGCAAGAACAATGGAATAAGTGTGTTCAAAATGAGGGGAAGTATTTCAAGAGGGATTAATGGCATTTTTTTTTTTTGGTACCAGGGATCGAACTCGGGACCTTGCATTTGTGAGGCAGGCGGCAGAACCACTGAGATAAATCCCCAGCCCGGCAATGTGTCTTTTGCTGTAATAAATTTTACCCTACCTTTTAACCACATCTTGTTCACCCGAGGCTTTGCAGATGTGTGAGGACTGCTTGGGTGAGGACAATAACCATGGAGCTCATTTGTGATGCAATTACAGCTACAGACAAGTCCTGTTAGAAAGTGGTAACTGTTTTATATCCCAGCCAGTTGTTCTGTTGCTGTGACAGCAAAGGACAGGTGTGGGAGGACTAAACTGATAAGTCATATCTGGGTCCTCTGTACACTGGGCCAGGCAGTATAGCCAAGTGGTTTGGAAGATGGTCAGTAGAGCCAACTGTGATGACTGATTGTGTCAGCTTGAGAAGTTTAGTTAAGAGAAGTTTAACTAAATCAGCTCAGCAATTCTGCACCCTAGGGCAGCTTGTTGCCTGGATGGTATCAAGGGGAAATGAGGAAGGAGGAAGGAGACTTGTGCTTCTATTTCTTCAGAGGAGCTCCAGTCTTTGCCTTCACCTTGGATGTCATCTCCTGGCTTCCTGGGCAGTCTCTTCAGCTTCTGGCTAGGATCCTTCAGCCTTCCAGCATAGATTCATCAGCCTTCCATTGCAGACCCATTGGCCTCCTGATATGGACTTGTACAGGACACTGCAGTGAGTTGAAGGACACTGCAGACCTTCAGCTAAATCCTTTGGACTCCAGTGTTCAGACAGATCCTCTGCATTCTTCCTCATGTGACTCTGTAGGAGGCCATTGTAAGCCAATCTTGTAAATTCATCTATTTTTGTATATTTTGTGTTATATCTTTTTCTCTAGTAAATACTGACTGATACACCTATACAGATTGGCTTCAAATCTCAGCTCAGTGATAACTTATTGGCTCCATGACCTGGGGAAAGTTACTCGATCAACTTGTGCAACAGTTTCCCCATCTGTATAATATTAGGGTTGTTGGGAGGATTGAATAAATTAATACATATGAAGTACCTAGAATGATGCCTGGCACATAGTAAGTGCTAAATATGTGTTATACTATTATTATTATTACTATTACAGGAGTAAGTGAAAACAATAAACATTTGTTGAGAGTGGGAAAGGCATTGTGGATTCTAGATGTTTGGGGAGATAAAAGATTTAAAAGGAAGAAGACACGGACCCTGCCTGAAGATGCTTTCATTCTAGAAGAAGAGAGAAGATACTATAATATGTCAAACATATGGAATGCCATGTAAGTAAGGCCAATAAAACCCCCTGAATTTTGAGAAAGGAAATTGGATCTCAGAAGGAGAAAAGCAAAAGTCAGGCCAGAACCTGAACTAATTTAGGGCATTTGGAAAATGTGTGTGTGTGTGTGTGTGTGTGTGTGTGTGTATGTACATATACTCACAAAAAGAAAGGCCAGCTTTTTTAAGAAAAGAGAGAAAAACTTTTCCAATGCCTCCTTATAACCTTATTTCATTAGGCATTTCCATGAATTCATTAGTACATCAGGCATGGCACTTTTGTTTTGGCAACCCAGTTCCCAGGATAACTGCAGGTCATCCAAGAGGCCAGATTTTCTCAGAGGGGAGGATTCAAGTGGAGATTTCTAGGTTAAAGCAGAGCTGGGCACCTCTCCCTTTGGGAGTGAACTGGAGCCCCATATTTGACACCAGAAGAACGCTGGCCCAGGGGCCATTAAATGGAGGCTGATTTATGTATAAGGTTCTAAAGTGTAGTTGTTCCCTTACATAATAACTAAGAAAAAAAAAAGGAGGACATCAACCTGATTTAGAATCTCTTCCTTAGCTATTTTGAGGCTGTATGATAAAAATCTCAGTTGTTTAGCACCCCAGAAGGATGAATTGTTCTAAGGTGTTAAAAAGTTTAATCTTTGGGTGCCAAGTTTAAATTGAAATCATTCTGATGGGCTCTCAAAGCTATATACATTCTTCTTTGCTTTGTTTAGTAGGGTATTTGGAACATGACTTGGCCCTTTTTTGATATTTTAGGTGCTTATCATAGTACTCTATTGCCCTTATGATCTCATGTAGAGGATGTCTTGACCACTGTAGTTAGGTCCAGGATGTTAATGTATACTAACTCTCTCTTTCAATATCCAAGGTGAACTGGTTCCAGGACCCCTGAGGATACCAAAATCTGCCAGGGTTCAAGTCCCTTTTATAAAATGACATAATACTATATAGCTAGGTACTATGGTGTGCACTTGTGATCCTAGCTACTTGGGAGACTGAGGCAGGAGAATTCCAAGTTTGAGGCTAGCCCGGCCAGCTTAGTGAGACTGTATCTTAAATTTTTAAAATTTTAAAAAGGAATGAGGATATATCTCAGTGGTCAAGTGTCCTTGGATTCCATTCCCATTGCTGCAAAGAAGAAAAAAGGTACAGTATTTGTATATCACCTATGGATATCCTCCAGTATACTTTAAATCATTTCTAGATTTCCTTTTAAAATTTTTTTAAAAAGGTATAACTTTATTATCATCCACTAAACACACACATATACAAAAATTAAAATTTTCAAAGAAAAGCAATGCAAGGGAAAAAACTATAATAATATTCAAATATAATAGAACTCAACCAAAGCAAAACTAAAAAGTACTTAAACATTTTTCCATATAATTTAAAAAAACATCTCAAGCATTAACAAGACATCAAAGGATGTGATTTGTTTTAGAAAGATTTTCAAGACTAATATTGAACAAATAGTGGTCTGGAAAAAAAATTCTAAATAGCTAGTAGTCTCCACATAGGCCAAATTTTTGAAATTTAAATTTCAATACAGTCATGTGACATGTGATGAAAATATAATCTGAGAAACATGTTATTAGGCAATTTCATCCATGTGTATCGCAAAGTACCACACAGAGTGCCAACTTCTATGTGCAAACTGAGAAGGTATTCATCAATCATCTGTGATGGCCCCTTGATATTATCCAAATATGCAGTTAAACACGAGATACATGAGGCTACCACTGGCATAGCAGCACACTGTTTTATAGTAAACTCTTTTATATAAGTAGGATTATGCTCTAAAGGATGAAAAGCACAGCATGTTATAAGTACCTAAAACAGTAACAGCCATTTATCACACTATCAAGTACTGTATACTGTACATAGTTGTATGTGCTTCTTCTGGAGATACACCCTTCTCTTCTTTGATCTCAGTGACTCTTCCTTCCCAACTCACTGATGAGCTCCAGCCTAGTCTCTATCTACATCTCTTCCTATAGTTTTAAACACAATCTGTATATGGATTCTTTCCAGATTCCAGTCTGTAACTCTGATCTCTCCCCTTCCCCTCCTGCCACCCCTACCTCTTTGAACCTTTTCTTCCTATTTCAAATTATCAATTATTCATTTTAATCATTTTAATTCTTAATTACACAAGATTTCTTACATTACTGAATACAATGTAAATGCCACATCAATAGTTGTTTTTACACTGTATTGCTTGGAAATAACTACAAGAAAAAAGCCTACACATGCTTAGTGCTGATGTAATTTTTTTAAGTTTTAAAATCTGGATCAATCCACAGACACAGAACCAGTAGATACAGAGGGCTGATTGTATTTTAAATTTTATAATAATTTTTTGGAAAACCCCCGCAATAGAATTCTGGATTTAACTCTGGAATGTAAAGAGCCTGGAAGTTGTCACTACCATCTTTATACAAGAAAAGGCAAGAAAAACAAAAATTATCAAATTTCTCAGATGCATCAGAGATTGACACTGCAGAGCAAAACCTTTATCCTAACCTCTAGAGACAGGTAGGGGCAGAGAGATACAACTGAGATCATCTTCCCTGAAGCAGAGGTGCTGGAGCACAATCTGATAGGGATATGAATGATGACATGGTAAATTGCTGGAGGTTGGGTGTGAACAATTATAAGCTGAAATCTGAGGACTGGGCTGGGCATTTAGCTCAGTGGTTCTGGCACTGGCCTCAAAAGTTCAAGGTCCTGAGTTCAATTCCCGGTACCAAAAAACAAAAACAAAAACCTCACAAAATCTGAGGAGTCTTCACACTGTTGTGAATTTTACCTCCAGAATCTTTACCAAGTTCTCACAATGAAGACCCAAGAAAGAATCCCCTGTGGCTTTGTTAGGAGGAATAAGAAACTCCATTTGGAAATACACTCAGAGCATTTTTCTTAACAAAGTTCTACTTTCCAGGAGGAATGACCTCACCAGAGTCTTAGCCCACCTGAAGGACAGACATTTACTCAGCTTCAGCTCCCATTAGCCTTCCTGTTTCATCTAAAGGGAAGAGGAATCTGAGATACATATGTTAAGGTCATAGGCTAGAGATACAGACCCACAAAAGGCAATAATTAAACTATTAGAATTTTATAACACTTCCTGTACCTCATCACTGTGTAAACAAGGCATCAGTATAATAAAGCAGATTGCAGCTGAAAGAGCTACAAGGTGCAGATTCTATTTGAGAAGGAGTTCTTAGGAAAGCCCAAAGATATGGAAGAGACAAAAATAAGGGTATAGAGAAATTTGAAGGCTCTGGTACCTACAGTTATAATAAAACATTAAACACAGCTCAACTAACCAGCCAGATTATTATAAAATCTCACATTAAGACTATTTACTTCTATTCTTATTACCTTATATATCATACTTGGCTCTCAACAACAACAACAACAATAACAACAAAAACAAACTACAAGGCATACTAAAAGACAAAATAAAAACAAAACAAAACAAAAACTCTACAATATGTAAAAACAAAGCAAGAGTCAGATCCAGAATCAGGTAAGAAATAGATTTTGGAGTTATCAGGCAGGGAATTTAAAAATAACTAATACATGAAGAATTTTAATGAAAAAAGTAGAGACAATATGGAAGAACATATGGATTATATAAGAAAAAAATTGGAAACTATAGGCAAAAAGACCAGAAGGAAAGACTAGAAATCAAAAACATTGTAACAGAAATGAAGAGTACCTGTGATGGTTCATGAGTAGACAGCATTGGTTAATAAAGGAATGAGTGGCCAGGAATTTAGCTCAGTGGCCCCACAAGCACAAGGACCCAAGTTCGATCCCTGGTACCAAAAATAAAAAATAAATAAATAAATAAAGGAATGAATGCACTTGAAGATATGTTAATAGAAACTTCCCAAACTCAAAAGCAAAGAGAGAAAAAACAACACATGAATACATCAAAAAATCCCCAAAACTAGGATATCCAATAATTGTAGGGTAATTAAAAAAAGTATAACATTCATACAATTGGAATATAAGAAGTTAAAAACTGACAAAATAGAGCAGAAGAAATATTTGAGGTAACAACAGCCAAGAATTTTCCAAAATCAATTACAGATATCAAACCACAGATGCAGAGAGCTCAGAAAATGCTAAATACAATAAATACAAAAAGTTTCTACCCTTAACTAAATTATATTCAAATTGCAGAAAACTAAAGACAAAATGGAAATCCTTAAGGAGCTAGAGAAAAAAAAATCACATTATCTACAGAGGACCATGGTTAATAATCACAGAGAATTTCTTATTATAAACCATGCATCCCAGGAGAATGGAGGGAAATATTTAAAGCATTGAAAGAAAAAAAGCCACCAACAGAATTCTACATCAAGTGAAATTATTCTTCAAAAGTAAAGAGGAACTAGCGAAGCTTTCAAGAAAATAAAAACTGAGGGAATTCATCACCAGAGGACTAGCCCTGTAAAAAATGTTAAAAAGAAGTTTTGCATCAGAGAGAAGAAAAATGATCAAACAGCATAAAGAAATGAAAAGCATTGGAGAAGAAATTAATGGAGGTAAAATAAAGTTTTATTTATTTTTAATTGATCTAAAATATAACAGTTTAAAGTAATAATAAAACAATTTATTGGCTGATTGTGGCCTAAAGATAAGCTAAATAGATAACAGGAATGTTATAAGCGGTAGGAAATGTAACTGGAAACACTCTGTTATAAGGTACTATATTATATGTGAGGTAGTATAGAGTCCTTTAACAGTAGACATATATTCATTACAATTGCATATTGCAAACTCTAGGGCAAACACTGAAAAAATGTTTAAAGAAGTATAATTAATATACTACCAAAGGAGATAAAATGAAATCATAAAATACTCAACTAAATCTTCAGAGAGTAGAAAAAAGGGAAGAAAGAAAATAAAGAATCAATGCAGTGGATAGAGAACAACTAAGTTTAATACAACTATATCAATAATCACTTTAAATGTGAATGGTCTGAATACATAAATTAAGAGACAGAGATTGTCAGAGTGGATTAAAAACAAAACAAAGGCCGGGGATTTAGCTCAGTGGTGCCACTGCCTGCCTTGCAAGAGCAAGGTCCCGAGTTCGATCCCTGGTACCAAAAGAAAAAAATAAAAACAAAACAAGACCCAAGCATACGTTTTCCATAAGAAATCATCTTAAATATCATGACTCTGAAAAGCTAAAACTAAAAGAATGGAGAAAGACAAAGCACGCTAACACTAACAAAATGAAAGCTGGAGTATTAACTTCAGACAAAGCTCACCTCAGAATAAGAAAATTATCAAGGATAAAAGAGGAATTACACATTGAAAAAGGGATCGTCAAGTGTGGTGGTGCATGCCTGTAATCCCAGCACTTGGGAGGTTGAGGCAGGAGGATACCATGAGTTCAAGGCCAGCCTGGGCTACATAGTGAGTTCAGGGCCAACCTGAACTACAAAGCGAGAGCCTGCCTCAAAAAACAAAAACAAACAAACAAAAAGATCAATTATCGAAGAGGACACAGCAATCCTTATTGTGTGTGTATCCAACAATAAAGCATAAAAATACACAATGCAAAAACTGATACAGCAGTAAAGAGAATTAGACAAATGCACTATTATAGTTGAAGAGTTTGGTACTTCTTTTTTAGTAACTGATAGATCAAATAGACAAAATCAGTAAGGATGTAATTGGCCCGAACAACATTACCAATCAATTCAAGTTAGCTGACATCTGGAAAATATGCAATCCACCAACAGCCGAATATACCTTCTTTTCATGCTCAAACAGAACATTTACAAATAGACCACATTATGAGCCATAAAACACACTAAACATGACAGAAATCATGTAAAGTATGTCCTCTGACCACATGAAGTTAAACTAGAAATCAGTAACACAAAGATTGCTGAAAATTTCACAAATATTTAGAGATTAAATGAAACACTGTTGAATAAAACATGGGTGAAAAATCTCAAGAAAAAATTTTAAATATTTAAATGAAATAAAATGAACATACAGCTTATCAAAATACGTGAGATGTGGTCAAAGTAGAGTTTAGAGGGCAAGTTATTGCATTAAATGCGTGTATTAGAAAAAAGAGATCTCTAAAGTTATAATTTGTATAATGTTAGATAATAAAAAAAAGAAATATCTAAGCTTTCACCTTAGCAATCCAGAGTAAGAAGAGCAATTTAGCCCAAAGCAAGCAGCAAAAATGGATAAAAAATTATAGAAGAAATCAGTAAAATTAAAACCAGGGAGACAGTTGGGGATGTAACTCAGTGGTGCCATGGCTGCCTGGCAAGCACAAGGTCCTGAGTTTGATCCTCAGTACCACACACACACACACACACACAGACACACACACACACAGACACACACACACACAAACCCCAGGAAGACAAAAGATATACTCAATGAGACAAAAACTAATTATTTGAAAAGGTCATTCAGAATGATAAATCTCCAGCCAGGATAACCAAGAGAAAAAGAAAGAAGACAAAATTTATCAATATAAGAAATGAAAGTAGGGGGCTGGGGATTTAGCTTAGTGGTGCCGCTGCCTGCCTCATAAGTGCAAGGTCCCGAGTTCGATCCCCAGTACCAAAAAAAAAAGGGCCAGGGATTAGCTCAGTGGTTCTGCCGCCTGCCTTGCAAGCGTAAGGACCCGAGTTCTATCCCCGGTACCAAGAGAAATGAAAGTGGGGTCATCTCTACTGATCACATGGACACTACAAAGATAATAAAGGAATACTATGAGCAACTCTATGTCCACAAATTTGACAACTTAGATGAAATGGACCAATAGTCCCTTGGAAGACATTCTACTAAAACTCACACAAGAAGAAATAGTCTAAATAGACTTATGTGGATGAAAGACATTAGCTTTTCATTTTGTTTGTTTATTTATTTTATTTTATTTTTGAGACAGTATCTTGCTATTTAGTTCAGGTTAGCCTTGAATTCACTGTGTAGGTCGGGGAGGTCTTGAACTCATGACAATACTCCTGCCTCAGCCTCCCAAGTGCTGAGATTACAGGCATGCACCACCACATCTCATTATTAAAGAAATTGACTCAATAATTAATCATTTTCTGAGGAATAAAGCACCAGTCCCAGATCATTTCAGTGCTGATTTCTACCAAACTTTTAAGGAAGTATGATACCACTTGTATCATGGCTTGTATCTAGATGTCCCCTACAGCCTCATGTGGTCATAGGTTGGGAGTTTCAAAGGTGATTGGATTAGGGTGTGATACTGAGATTAAGAATATGAATAATGGAAGCTCCACCCCAAGTATGGGTGGCACCAATCACTAGGCTTGTAGTCCAGATGGAATACAAAGGGACAGAAGGAAGGCAGGCTTGTTGCTGTCTCTGCTGCTTGCTGTCTGCCATGCCATGAACTCCTCCATGACACCCCTCTGCCATGCCACCGTGCCTTTGAGCCAGTCAACTATGGACTGAAACTTCTACAAACTGTGAGCTGAAATAAACCTTCCCTCCTTTAACTTTGGGTGTCAGGTATTTTGTCTCAGCAATGAGAAAAGTAGTGAAGACACTGCTTCTCTAGGATCTCTTCCAGAAAACAGAAGCAAAAGAAACACTTTCTAACTCATTCCTTGAGGACAGCATTGGCCTATAATCAAAGTCAGAAAAGACATTACAAGAAAAGAAAACTAAAGACTACTATCATTCATGTATATAAATGCAAAAATGCTCAACAAAATGTAGGCAAATAAAACTCAATAGTGTATAAAAATTGTACATGACCAAGTGAGATTTGCTCCAGGTATGCAAGGCTAGTTCAACATTCAAAAGTCAAGTCAGTGTAATTCACTACATCGTGATTAGGCCGAAGAACAAAAATAATAAGATTTTATCAATTGATTTAGAAAAAGCATTTGATAAAATACACTCTCCATTCATTATAAAAACTCAGCAAACTTCCTCAACTTACTAAAAAATCTGCAAAAGGCTTACACCTAACATCATACTTGATGGTGAGAAATCGGAGCTTTCCTCTTGTAACGGGAAAAAGATACATATGTCTGTTATCACCACTCTTATTCACTGTTTTGTGAGACTTTCTAGCTTGTACAATTGATAGAGCAATAATAAACAATAAGACAGGCCTTTACCTTGCCTCCATGTTTTTTTTTTCTGCAAAATGTTTGTTCCAGAAATGTAATAGTTTGTGCTGCACAGTGCTCCTGCCCAATGTATCAAAATGTTTTGTAAATGTTTGAACTATGTGACCTTTTAAGAATGTTCTATTAACTCCACCCCCTTACAGGAATGTTCTGTTAACTCCACCCCTTTCAGGAATGTCCTGTTAACTCTGCCCCTATGCTTCTATAAGCATGCTTACTTGGTATGTGTTTCAAAAATGTTCTGTAACTCCTCCCCCTTGTTTCAATGAGCATGCTTGCCTACTCCAAAGATTCCTATATAAGGAGGCTCTCATTTCTGGTCAAGTGCTCAGACTTCGAAGTACGAACTCCTCTGAGTCCCCTGGCTTAATAAAAGATTTTTCTCCACCTCTTAGAGTGTCTTTCAGATCCACAAGTCTTCAAATTGTGGTAGCTGTGACTCAGAGCTATAACACTTGGCTGTGCCTCAGAGCTGTGGCAATTGTTTGTGACACTGAACTGTAACACTTGGCTATAGGACTGAGCTGTTCTGTTTTGCTACAACACTTCCAGAGCCTGAAATATTGATTATGCCCAAAACATGCTGCAAACATGTCTGCAAACATGCAGTGTAGGCTGCAAAGAGTTAAATCCTTCGATTGGCTTACTTTAAGAAGCGAGTCTGACTGAAACTACATGACTCACAGAAGTATCTCATGAGCTATGGTAGCACACAGGTTAACATGACCTCCCTGCTAACAGCCACAGCTGAGACCAGAGTAATGGCCTAGGAAGCTGTGGGGCTAATACAAGATAACATCCATAGCTGAGGTCAGAGTAATCTCACCAAAAATCTATTCCCACAATTAGTGCCGTCATAGCTTGAAGGACAATGCTCTAATTACAACGATATATTTTGTCTATCTTGCTTCTAATTTGAAAATGCTTTGACTTCCCTTTAAAGCCTTGCCTGCTTTAGTTTCCATAGTAATTTCACATACTGCACATCTATACATGCACCTTTACCCTGATTGATGAATAATAAAATTCGGTGGAAGAGACAGGTGAGTGCCTTTTACCAAAGGAGCATTGGGCATCCCAGTTCAGACGTTCTCTTTAACTCTGTCTTAAGTTTTTCTTCAACCTTGTGTCATGCAGGTGGGGACTAGAGCCTTACTGCAGGAGTCTCTGCCACAACACAATAAGAGAAGAAAATAGAATAAAATGAAAAACAAGGGAAGCAAGAAATAAAACTTTGTATTCATAGAAAACTTCATTGTCTATGTAGTAAATTCCAAAAATTTGACAAAAACAAAAACAACAAACCAAACCAAAAACAAACCATAGAATCTGTGGGATTAATTAGCAAGTATTGCAAGATTGAAGACAAGATTAATATACAAAAAGCAATTGTTTTTCTATCTACCAATACTGACCTATTAAAGTTTTTGAAAAATATCATTTAGAATAACATGAAAAGGTGAATACTTACGCATAAATCTAACAAGGTATATATAGGAGCTATATGTGGAAACTACAAAGGTCTGATGAAATAATCCAAAGAAGATCTAAACAAATGGAAAGCTATCCTGTGTGTTTATGAATCAGAAGACTCAATATTATATTAGCTCTTCTTAACTTGATCTCTACAGAGTTTGGCATAATTCCGATTAAAATCCTAGTGAGCTATTTTATACATATCAACAAACTGATTCTACAATTAATATGCAGAGGCAAAAGAGCTAGAATAGCTCATATAATACTAAAAAAGAACAAAGTTAGAGGGCTCATAATGCCTGATTTCATGACTTACTACACAGCTACAGTAAAAAAGATTTTGGTATTGGTGAAAGAGTGAGAGCTCAGCAATGGGATCATAGAAATGTAGCCAGAGTATCTTTGACAAAGAAGCAAAAGCAACTCAGTGGAGAAGGGAAAGGTTTTTAAACAAGTAGTGGAGAGAAGGTGAGCCAGTTGCAGCACCCAGAAGGAAGCTCCCCCACTGCCATCCCAAGCTTCTAGGGCAGAGAATGTGAGCTGGTCCCAGAATCCAGAAGGAAGCTCCCCACTGCCATCCCAGGATCCTAGGGCAGAGAAGCTGAGCCAGTCCCAGCACCTGGAAGGAAGCTGCCCTGCTGCCATCCCAAGCTCCTAGGGTAGAGAAGGTGAGCTGCTCCCAGCACCTGGAAGGAAGCTCCCCTGCTGCCATTCCAAGCTCCTAGGGCAGAGAAGGTGAGCCACGTGGGCACCAGAAGCACCCCACCCCCCGTGGAAATGAGAAGACACGTAAACAAGTCTCAAAAACAGACTTCTGGATCACCTACAGCAACCCCAAAGGGAAACAAGATGGAACACTCTGATACTCAACCACCTGGACTCTCTGAACTGGCAACAAAAGAGGAGCTGGGAAAAATGAAATCAGAAATAATTACTCAGATA